ACTGTTACACTGAGAAACCCTGTCTCAAGAAAAAATAAAAATAAAAAAATAAAAAAAAATTATGTTTTATGTTTTAAAATTCCTAAATATTTTAATCTTTTTACTTTTACTATAAATGAGACTATCCCCTTCCTTATATAATCTATTTGTCAAACAACTGGTTTTGCATGTCAATTGTACACTGTTATCTTACTAAATTCTCTCTCCTCTGTGTGTGCTGCTTTGGAGACAGTCTCACATAGTCCAGCTTGGCCTCAAACTCACCATGTAGCTAGGACAACCTTGAATCCAATTCTTAGGCAGCCACATCCAAGTGCTGGGATTATAGGCATGTACCATAAGGCCAGGCTAAATTCTTTTTTATTTTAGTTTTGATTATTATTTATGTGTTCTAAATACATTCCATTATCATCTGCAGCTAGTGACAGTATACTATTTTTATTTTCCAAACTTTATGCCTCTGAATAATTTCTCTTACCTTATTTCACCGTCTTAAGCTGTCAATACAATATTTAATTGTATACTAAATAACTGGAATTGGTAAGGCATTGAAAGCAGGAATTCAAGGCAAGCCTCAGCTATGTAAAAGTTCAAGGTCAACCTGGGGTGTATGAGATCCTGTCTCAGAAAAATTAAAAGTGCTGGTATGATGGCTAACGTCTTAGGCAGTTAAATCTGTGAGTTTCAGGCCTGCTTTGCCTGAACTACACAGTGAGTTCCAGGTAGTCTGGACTACCACATAAGACCCCGTCTTTAGAGAAAAAAAAAAAAAAAGGAAGGAAGGAAGGTGAAAACAAAGGGTGTTCTGAACATTTATAGTAAAAGCACTCCAATTTCACACAGACAACCCCAAAGCACGAAGCCAAGATCAGCTTCTCGCTTCTCTTACTCTATATCTTCATCCTGACAATGAATACTGCAAGCCAGATCAACAGTGAAAACACCCCAAGCTACTTCTCATTCACAGATAGAGGTGTCCAAATTCCAAATGATAGCAGATAAAACCTAGCTCTATAGAAAACCATGGCCATAGTCTGTTGTCCCAGGAATTCAAGGCTAGTTCAGCATTAGAAAATCAACTAAGATAACTCACCACAACACTAGATTACTGAAAAGTTTCCATACCCAGATATTGGGTTTCTCTGCCGATGCAATGAATCAGATCAGGCCAAATTAAAAGTCCAGCTTTAATGAGCAAAGCACACCCAGGTGATTCTCAGGAGAAGAAAGCAGGAGAGAAATCATGTGGCCGGTCTAGGGACTGTCTTAAATACCCTGTAGGTGTGGTCTGGAGCATCTCCAGGGAAGGAGCCAACCCTTGGTGGGCTTTCTGAGGGGCGGGGTCTGGCAGCTCACAACCATTTGCAACTCTAGTTCCAGGGGATCTGATGCCCTATTCTGTCACCCAAGGACACCAGGCACACAAGAGGTACACACACATGCATGCAGGCAAAACACCCATAAACATAATTTTTTTTTAATTATTAAAAAAAGGGGGCTGGAAAGATGCCCAGAGGTAAAGAAAACTTGTTGCCCTTACAGAGGATCCATGTTTGATTCCTAGCCCCCACAAAGTGGTTCACAACCATCCATAGCTCCAGTTCTAGATGATTCAAGACCTTCTTCTGACCTCTGGGCACCAAGCATGGATGTGGTGCACATACACACATGCAGGCAAAACACACATAAAATACAATAAAAAAAAGTAATAAACTCTGAGATGTAAGTAAAATTTACCATTTATAAACAATTTATGAATGATGTAATTTTTAAGACAAAGTATGTGTGTGTGTGTGTGTGTGTGTGTTGTATTCACAAGTGCGTGCATGTGAGTTCGCGTGTGGAGGCCAGAAGTCAACATTAAGTGTCTTTTCACTGAACGTGGAGTTCACCAATTTGGCTGGTTTGGCTGGCCAGCAAGCTCCTGTCTCACCTCTGTGATGAGATTACAGGTTTGTGGCACTGGAACTGGCCTTTCTTTGTGGGGTCTGGGGGTCTGAACTTAGGTCTTCATGCTCGTGTAGAAAGCGCTTTACCAAAAGAACCACCCCTCTCACCCAGACGCATCTTAGAAACATTATCAACTGCTAGAGTGCAGCTCAGTAGTGGTCAAACACTTGCCTGGGGTGTACCAGGCCCTAGGTTCAATTCCTAGCACCACACAAAGCAAAAAAGGAAAGAAAATTAACAACAAATATTAATAAAACACATGAAGAGCTGGTCATGATGACATACAACTATAATCCCAGCACTCAGGAGGCAGAGTCAAGGATAGCCAGTTCATGGCCAGCCTGAGCTATATAACAAGACCTTGTCTCAAAAACCAAGAGCTGGTAGTAGAGTTCATTGTTAGAGCCCTTGTATGATACGTAGAATAATACTCAATTAAAAATATTTGAACCAGTCAACTATGAGTACATTATAATCACAGTTACCTTAGAAAGTCAATATAGCTTATTTTATAATTAAAATGTGGGAAGAACTTGTGAAAAATGAAAATACAACCAGTGAAACGGCTCAGCCAGTAAGAGTGCTTGCCAATGGGGTTGAGGATTTAGCTCAGTGGTAGAGTGCTTGCCTAGCAAGCACAAGGCCCTGGGTTCGGTCCTCAGCTCTGGAGAGAAAAAAAAAAAAAAAAAGAGTGCTTGCCAAGCCAGGTGGTGGTGGTGCAGGTGGTGGTGCACACCTTTAATCCCAGCACTTGGGAGGCAGAGGCAGGAGGATCTCTGAGTTCAAGGCCAGCCTGGTCTACAGATCAAGAGTTCCAGGACAGCCAGGGCTTTTATTGAGAGAAATTCTGTCTGGGAAGAAAAAAAAAAAAAAAAAAGAGTGCTTGCCAACCCTGATCACCTGAGTCAAATCCCCTGACTCCTGTAAGTTGTTCTCTGACGCCAACAGCATGGTACAAGCCCATGCACATGCAAGTAAAAACTATCATGAAAAATATTTTAATGAGCCAGGCAGTGGTAGTACATGCCTTTAATCCCAGCACTTGAGAGGCAGAGGCAGGAGGATCTCTGAATTGGATGCCAACCTGATCTATAGAGTGAATTCCAGGCAGTCAGGGAGACACAGAGAAACCCTGTCTCAAACAAAACCAAAAAGACCAAAAAAAGATCCCCCCCAAAAAAAGAGAGAAAGAAAGAAAGAAAATACTAAAGAGATGGAAAGATGTTATAAATGTAACCAGCATTTTAATATTTGTTTTGGGCTTGGGAACAGGGTCTCATCACATAGTCCAGACTGGCCTCCACTTCAGTATGTATCTAAGGAAGACTCCTGATCCTTCTGCCTCCCCTTCCATGTGTGTGACTAGAGGCTGTGCTGCTGCAGGCAGCTTGTTTCTGTTTCTGAGATGCAGTCTCCATGCAGCTGCGCACTCTCCACTCTCCTGTCTTGCTCAATCAAGTGCTGGTGTTCTATAGGTGTGAACCGCCACTCCTGGTGGGAGCTGATCTTAACTCTACAGGTAGCCTACACTCAGAGGCTTTTAGACACTAATTGTACAGATTACTTATTGGACTCAATAAGACAGAAAAGGCCTGTGAAACGGCTCAGTCAGTAAAGTGCCTGTGGTGCAAACATGAGGACCTGATTTCAGAGTTCCAGAACTCACCTAAACAGTTAGGTGTGGTAACATGCCTCTATAATGCCAGCGCTGGGAGGCTTGCCAATTTAATCGGTAAGTTCCAGGTTCAGAGAGAGGCTGTCCCAAACACTAAGATGGAAAACAACTAAAGAAGACATATCTGGCCTGCTCATTCACACACACCTCTGCACAAACACGAACAAGAACATACTCATCCCCGCTCCCCACCAAAGACAAAAGGAAAAGTACAGAAAACAGAATGACACCTATATGCCCATCAACCAAGTTTAAGATGCTACAATCTGTACTATTCTCTTTTAAAGGTAAACATTTCAGGGCTGGAGAGAATGGCTCAGAGGTTAAGAACACTGGCTGTTCTTCCAAAGGTCTTGAGTTCAATTCCCAGCACCCACATGGAGGCTCACAACCATCTGTAATAAGATCTGGCTCCCCCTTCTGGCCTGCAGGAACACATGCAAACAGAACACTGTATACATAATAAATAAATCCTAAAAAAAAAAAAAAAAAAAAAAGGGTAAACATTTCAAAACATATCATTTAAAATATCTGGGATAAAAAAAAAAAATATCTGGGATAGTGGCATGGGCCTGTAACCCCAGCACTTGAGAGGCCGAGGCAGTAATATCAGAAGTTTAAGGTCATCCTCAGCTGCACAAGTTTGAGGCCAGCCTGGACTACAAGAGCCAAAACAACAAAAAACTGGTATCCATTCCCTATATTGGGAACTAGCATTGAAAGTGACCTGACAGTGGTGGAACACGTCTTTAAGCATCCACACACACATACACATGCGACGCCGAGGCAGGTGCATCTCTGAGTTTGAGGCCAGCCTGGTCTACAAGAATGAGTTCCAGGACAGCCAGGGCTACACAGAGAAACCCTGACATCTCAGCCATCAAGCGACCTATGAGCAGGTTGGGGGAGTGGGAAAGCCTGAGGCAGTAGGATATGCTTCCGAGCTGTGCAGGTCTTATTCAAATCTTATTTCTGGCATCCAAGCCCACAAGGTCTGAGCTTCGGATTCTCGACGTCTAAAACGGGGGCAATTCAATTTCCCCTCCTCTAAAGTCGCGGGAAAACGTGTTGATGAGGGGTCGCTGCAGCCTTAGACACACTCCGGGATGAGATCATTTCTCGCGTGTGACAGACAAAAAGCAAGATCCTGGACCTTAAGGATGTGTGGACAGCAAGACTCAAGCCTCGGCCGCCTGACACGGCCTTTGCTGGGGCTCCGGGGTTCTTCTTCTCCCCACGGGGCTTCTCGCCACCAGCGAGGCTACGAGGCACTGGGGCGGACTAGGGGAATGGCCGAGGCCTGGGGCTCCGGGCCGGGCCGGGGGGAGCCGGTGACCCGGCGGAGCCACCGCGGCCCCGAGGTCGCGGAACTCACCTCACTCGGGCTCACGCCGCGCCAGGCTGAATCACTATCCAAACTCCGCGCGCCGCCAGGGCCCTCCGGCGCCCCGCTCCGCTCGCTTCGCGCCGCAAGAAGGATGGTTCTGATTGGACGAGCCCTGAAGGGACTAACCAATACCGTGGCCTCTGGCAGTTGGCCCCGCCCTTTAGAGCCGCTGGGGCGGGATCACCCGAGCACATACTCCCAAAGCCCAATTAGAAGCCAGCTGGTGGGTCAGGTGACTGTGGCCAACCTCCCGGGCTTCCGGCGCTAGTAAGGCTTTGTTTTTGTGGGGTTTTGTTTGTTTGTTTGTTTGTTTTCCTAGTGTTGGGGGACAAGCACCTGGAGCCCAATCTCTGACATGATAGGAATTTTCTGGTGTTTGGAGGCACCTGAGACTTGCCAGTTCCCATAAGCCAAGCGAAGTGTCTGTGGTCCTTCTCTTGGATCTGATCCTCCGTTCTTGTGAGATTTCGGCGGTCTTCCACGGCTGTTACTGATGAGGAACTGGGATCTCGAGCTCCGACGCTTCAAGGGAAATGCACAGTGCCTGAGTGCGAAGCTTCAGCTCGAGCGGATAGGTGCCACTAAGAATGTGGCCCTTGGGGCTGGAAAGATGGCTCAGCGGCTAAGAGCACTGACTGTTCTGCCCGAGGACAGGATTCAATTCCCAGCCCCCACATGGTCGCTCACAACCGTCTCTAACTCCAGGATCCAACACCCTTACACAGACATACATACAGGCAAAACACCAATACGATGTTAATAAAAGAGATGCGGCCCTGGGTGATGCCTGATGTTCCAGTTTTGTAATGTTTAGTGTTTTTGAGACGGGACCAGGTTGACCTCAAACCTCCCACTAACTGTATAGCAGAAGACTTGAACTCCTGATCCACCTACCTCCACTTCCCAAGGACTAAGATTACAGCCTTGTTCCACCATGCTGGGCTCTTCTAAAACTCTCTTCCCACCCTGTCTTCTGTCCTTACCCTTTTATAAGAAGTAAATTCTGCCTTTAATCCCAGCACTTGGGAGGCAAAGGCAGGTGGATCTCTGAGTTTGAGGCCAACCTGGGCTACCGAGCTAGTTCCAGAACAGCCAGGGCTACACAGAGAAACTCTGTCTCGCAAAACCAAAGAAAAGGAAAAAAGGAGTAAATTCAAATCGTTTCAGCCATATGGAATACAGTACAGAGGATTTCAAAGATACTAAAAATTAAGCCACCGCATGACCCCACAATATCTCTTCTGACATATACCTCTCAAAATTAATGTCACACCTTCCTAGAGCCATCTGCTTTCCCTTGTTCATTGCCTCATGAAACACGATAGCCAAGATATGAAAATAAGCCATCAACGGAAAGCGTGGGAAGAGTTTCTAGCACATGCATAGGAGAATATGCAGCCCTGTAAAAAGAACCAGATCTTGCCATTTGCCACAATATGGGTGAGCTCAAGAGATATTGTGCTAAGTGAAACAAGCTAGACACAGAAAATCATTGTATGATTTTATACGTAGAGTCTTTACAAAATTCCAATATCTGTATCTAAAGAAAACTGGTGGAGAGATTGGGCGAAAGGACACGTAAGGAGAAAATATTTAGAGATCCAATACACAATATGCAAGTCCTGTCTATTGCATGTCTGTTAGATGATTAGGTTTTATAAAAACCCAGAAAGGATGACTGCAGATGATGACTAAATTCATCTATTTCATTAAAGTAACCTGACTATCTATACGTGTCTGCATCTGCAGGCATCATGCTGACAAATTGATACAAAAGTACTTTTTTTTTTTAACAGTGTCTCACTATGTAGCTGTGGCTGGCCTAGAACTTACTTACCTAGGTTAGGTTGGCCTCATACAGAGATCTGCCTTGACTCTGCCTCCTGAGTGCAGGGATTAAAGGCATGCGCCACCACACTCAGCTTCTGCTGATTTTTAAATATTGACTAAACAAAACTGCTGTTTCAAAACAAAACCCACCGGGCGGTGGTGGCGCACGCCTTTAATCCCAGCACTTGGGAGGCAGAGGCAGGCGGATCTCTGTGAGTTCAAGGCCAGTCTGGGCTACAGAGTGAGTTCCAGGACAGGCTCCAAAGCTACACAGAGAAACCCTGTCTTGAACACCCCCCCCCAAAAAAAGAAAGAAACACTATGCCTATCTGGGCTGGAGAGATGGCTCAGTGGTTAAGAGCACTGGCTGCTATCCCAGAGGACCCAGGTTCAATTCCCAGCACCCATATGACAGCTCACAACTGTCTGTAACTCTAGTTCCAGGAGATCTGACACCCTCACACCAATGCATATAAAATAAAATTAAATAGATTATTTTTAAAAAAACAGTCATACAATAGTCTCCTAGAGCCCCTCTTTGTGATAAACTAAGAAGAAATTTGGTTTTGTTTGGCAGCACCACATTGTGAACCTAAAGCCTCCTGTGTGATAAACAAATGCTCTACCAGTGAGCTGCATACATCCCCAACCTCACCTCTCCCCTCCCCCAGTTTTGATATTTTTATTACATTCATTCATTCATTCTTTTATTTGTTTGTTGGTTTGTTTTGTTTTGTTTATATGTGTAGGGGCGTGTACATAGCACATCAAGCAGGTAGCGGTCAGAGGACAACTCTCCTTCTACATTTGGGACCCAGAAATCAAACTCAGGTCATCCAGTTTGGCAGCAAATGCCTATGCCTGCTGAACTATCTTTTTTTGAGAGTCTCATGTAGCCCAGGCTGGCCTTGAACTGCTGATCCTCCTTTCTTTACTTCTTGACTGCTAGGATTATAGACACATGCCACTACACTCACCTCCCAACCCTTTACATTTTTTGTTTGTTTATTTGAGACAGGGTCTCACTAAGTTGCCCAAAGCAGACTTGAATTCACACTATATTCAGGCATGCCTTGAAATTTCTTTCTTTTGGGTTTTTGTTATTGTTGTTCTTATTTGTTTTTGAGACAGGGTTTCTTTGTGTAACCCTGGCTGTCCTGGAACTTGCTCTGTAGACCAGGTTGGCCTTGAACTCAGAGATCTGCCTGCCTCTGCCTCCTGAGTGCTGGGATTAAAGGTGTAGACCATCACCACCCAGCTATGCATTGAAATTTCACTGCCTTTGCCTTCTAAGAAGCAGGCCTGAATCACCAGGCCCCAATAACTGAGCAGTTCTTCAATACCAAAATGGCAAGACATGCAGAATAGAGATAAGGAGAAGATAAGAACAATCTACCAAAGAACGGAACCAACAACCCTAGGGGACAAGACGCAAGTGTGGTGCTCACAACGTCATGAAGGGAGCTCAGCTGAAATGCCCACAGGTTGAGTTCTCCTTTATGTTTACCTTCAATGCAGTCACTGTCCCCAGTCAAGCCACTGTGCTAGACAGCCCAGAATAAATACCACTCAGAGGAGGAGGAGGACATGTAAGTTAATGTTCACAGTAACACTGCAAGCTGACTGTAGTGGTGTGTGCTTGTAACCGAAACACTAGAGAAGCAGAGGCTGGAGGATCTCCAGTTAGAGGTCAGCCTGAGGTACACAGCCAGACCCTGTCTCAAAACAAAACAGTAACAATCCAAGTCATGCGTGTGCTAGCTCGGGTTGCGGTTTCACAGGAGAGATTCACCTGCAGATGTGGAGGACCAGGGGAGGCTGCAGTGAAGGTGTGCTGAGGATGGAGGGTAAGGCTAGGAAAACGGGAGGGTGACTGCTCAGTGGTACAAGCTTCGTGTGGATGAGGCTCTGGATTCTATCTCCAGTGCAGCCCCCCCCACCCCCAAAAAAGCCTCAGTAAACTAGAAAGTCCACAAGGCACCTTTGATAAAATGCAAGAAAATGGAGGTTAGTGATAAACGACACGGGAAAGGAAAGGGGACCTCATCTGAGTTTGGATTCTATCTTGAGGTCAGTGGACATTGTTGGGAGGATTTGAGAGGAGACTGGATGCTTGCCTGATAATCACATTTGCCTCAGAGAGAGAGAAAGGGGGCAGGGTTTGCATCTACATGTTCCGGGTCTCAACCAACCTTGAACTTTTGTTTTGTTTTGTTTTTCAAGACAAGATTTCTCTGTGTACCCTGGATGTCCTGGAACTCTCTCTGTAGACCAGGCTGACCTCCAACTCACAGAGATCAGCCTGTTTCTGCTTCCCAAGTGCTGGGATTTCTTTTTTTTTTTGGTCTATTTAGTCCTGGATGACCTCAAACTCTAGGTCCTGGGACTGAAGGTGTGCACCACCATGATCAAATTGAATTTTTATTCTATGTTTTTTAAACAGCATTTACAGCTGGGTATGGTGGGTTGTACCTGTACTCCCAGAATTTGAGAGTCTGAGGCAGGAGAATTGCCACAAGTTTGAGACCACCTTGGACTATAGAATGAGACCATGTCACAAAACAAAACAGCAGCAACAAAGCCTCCAACCCTCCAAATTGTACTAAGTATTGCAATTTAGAGATGATTTTGAATTATACTGTAGGGCTGGGAATGATGCTCAATGGTAGAGCACTTGCCTAGAATGCTCAAAAGCCCTTATCTTGCAGGGTGTGCGGTGGGGGGACCGGCACCCATATTGTATACTCTAAGAAGAGAAATTAATATCTTTATTAATAATAATACCACTATTGCTAGTAACTCCAAAGGGAAGAGGGGGTGTTTGTCACCCTTGCACTGTGACTGGTAGATGTAAAGATGGCTGTGATAGTCATTGACATTTTGTATATCCATGGGGCAAAAGTTCTTTACCTTGGAGGCGACAATTTTTAGGTAATGGTAAAGAACTTTTGCCTCATAAATGGGGAAGTGAAACTATCTGGTGACCAAGCATCTTATGCTAAGACAGTCACCAGAAGATGGCCAAATGTGTAGACTTCCGAGCCTGTCCTTTAACAGAGACCTCGACTAAGAAATGGAATGTCACTGTGCTCGCTGAGCTTCACCCCCTTTGGTGACTGGCAGTGCCATCCCGTCAGCCACAGATGGCCAGTGCTGTTCAGTTCATCCCAGGAGCTGTGTTGCCCAAGGTGGCCTTCATCTAGGAACATAGCATGTACTTAGGAGCTGAGGATAGTGAGAACCA